TACCCACGATGAACTAAGAAACCTAGAAGAAGACCGAACTTGAGATGGGACCATGATAAATATTAGAAAATTAGCGGGGATAACTTGGGCCCGCATAGCCAACAATAGACAATGGGCCCAATTACAAAGAGAATATCTAAATATGTGAAGGGAGCCTACACCATAATTGGAAATGGTTGAATAAGCTGAAAATGATGATGATTGATTTAAGTCAAGATTTTCTTGGTCTAGGCGATGGTCTAGGTCTTGTAGGGTCCAATCTTGGTCTAGCTGGCTCTTGCAAGTCTTGCACTTTTTTAATATATTTTACCGGTGTCACTGTCTACATAGAAAGTTTTAAATAAATAGCATTCTCTTTGAAGCATATTCTTTTATTTAAAAACAAATATTTAAAATTAATTAAATTTGGCTATGTTTTTATTTGTACCAACCTCGTAGTATAAAATACATACCAATTTTACTTGTGCATGCAAAATTTTTGAGAGATTATATATTATCTCGAAGAAAATATTATGTTTGCATTATGAAGTTCATCCGCAGGAACCTGCTGTGAGAAACTTTTTAATATTATACGGAAACTTCAATTTCCTACTGGCAAAAATAAAACGGCCTTGCCAAAGCCATATAGTAATACAGAAAGAGTGAGGGAATTGAATTTTCCAGAAGAATCTCAAATATCCACCGGGATATGCGGTTCCAGGGTTATTTTATCTTCTAAAAGAATTTTTCTCGCCGTTTTTGTTTGTTCCCTCCTATGCTTGGCCGTTTTTCGCTGTTTTTCCATTTTTTTTCTTTATGCATATAACTAGAATCGAGGTTTGTTCGATATTACATGTATAGACTGTTTCAGCCTTTGTTCAACGTCACGTTATATATTGTCGAACTCAATCACTTGCCAACCGGATGAAAGAGATTGATGACGTCATTACGGCATTTCGTAAATTAATGCATATTCTTTTTAGTAATTGTCATTTGATTTGGGGTTATAATTTTATTGACAGACATCGGTGAATGCCAGGATTAAAATTTGATTGTCGCTGTAAAACAAAATTCATTTTTTTTATTGCAACAATACCTGGGGTTTCAAAATGAACAAGAGCTCATCGCTAAGCTTATAAATTATTTTTCTCGAGAAAGAGACGTTAGTAGAACACTCTTAGCCCGTGGACGCCGTAGATGAAGTAAGTACAATGCAAAGGTGTAATATTCCTATGTAAAATACAAATTTATAGCGCTTTTAAATAATATAGTGAGTTGCTGGTAGCTTTAGAAATAGGAATTCCGACAGTCCAAAGGATTGGAATTAAAGGGATCGTAACTGATGAAGAGTTCAAGAAAAAATGAATAAATGCCGAAAAAAACGGAACTCGCTCAATCAGTAATATAGGAACGTAATTAAAATTTTCTAACCAATATAAACTGATCTCAGACACACCCTAAAACTCATATTTGACAAATAATGGTGATGTAACGCTGAACGATGGCTGAACAGTCTTTATGTATGTTTTAATCGAGGAGAAAATAAATGCATTTCTGGGTGAATTTGCTTCTAAAAATTAAACACTGGAATATTACAAAAAAGTAGATGCTGAAGTAACGTCTCCTTCTTGCTGCTAATTCGGCTAATCTGGTTAGGTTTCGCGGAATCCGAACCGCGGTCCTCGGCCATATCATTGTCAATGGCCTACTGATTTGGCTAATGTCCAAATCGACTCTTACTCACGGGATATGCGATCTCATCCGGCGTCAGCGCGGCGCGGCGTGAATGAGCAGTGGGTGTCAATAGATTTTACATTCTTGTCATCTCAAGTTTCCTGACGTTTACCCGTCCATCCATTTGCATCGTCTAACGTCTCTTAATTTAGGTGATTTATGGGGAACCAATGTTTCGACGTAGCTGCCATTGCCCGTACAGTTACAGTTGATGTTTGCCATTTTGTCGTTTTTGAAAAATATTCATTCGTTAAATAGACTTTAAATAAAATCATATTTGATATTGACTATTATTATTGGATGATAGTCATCCAATGACAAAACCAAAAAAGGTAAGGTCCTAGGTAAATATGTTTATCCACGACGATCTTCGTATGCAGAACAAAACTTTATATTCTAGGAGCTAGCCCATAATCTGTATTATGACTATGTTGGTTAATTATGACGGGTGTCTAATAATTTCCTCGTTATCATATACATACAAAACAGATAGTTATTGATAACTATCGAATTACTGATAGATATCGGTTTGTACCTAACTTGTTCAGCTTTTCTAGGCATTATTTGACCAACTTCGAATTGATGGTTACTGAGTTAATTGCTTTCAATAGTGCTTGGCTATATCGGATAAGATGGCTATTTCTTGTTTCCGATAGTTCCTCTCTTGGATAAAAAGTTAGCCAAATCAGCTATTAATTAATTTAATAATAAACTTTGTTTTTAGAAAATGCCACCAAAAATGCTCTGAATTAAATTTCTTTATCTTTTCGATTTGCCATTCGTTCCATTCTCGAATTATATATTTTTTAGATTCCACGATCTCCACGTTGCATTCTGTTGCACCTCGCCGTCTAAACGAGCGTTTTACGCTCCGGGTTTGCTATTATCCACCTTGGAACGTGCAAAATCGCCAACCGAGACCCCCGCCGTAGGGGTAGCACTTGTTGATCTGTAGCTTTCACCTCTTTGCCCCGTTACGACGCGGCCGCAAGACAATATCGATAAAAGCGTTAAGGGGTAGTCGAATTGAAATTCGGAAGGAATAACGACGTGGTGCGGCGGTATAAACACTGACTGCGTATGTTTTTTATTCACTTGTCGCGAGGTCGTGAATTATGATTTATGGTTCGCAGGCTTTGTTGCCACGTCGCTATATTTCTTCTCTTAACTCTCTCTTTATACCGTTGCCAGCGATGTTGTGATCCACCGTTGCCAGCAATGTTGTTATCCACCTTTGCCAGCAATGTTGTGATCCACCGTTGCCAGCAATGTTGTGATCCACCGTTGCCAGCAATGTTGTGATCCACCGTTGCCAGCAATGTTATGATCCACCGTTGCCAGCAATGTTGTGATCCACCGTTGCCATTAATGTTGTGATCCACCGTTTCCAACAAAGTTGTGCTCCATCAATGACTAAAGATAACAAGGATAAATAACACCTGAGAGCAAATTGTTACCTTATCACCAAACAGTTCTGTGGCACATATTTTTCTTAACTTAGCTTAGGGTTGCCAAACGTCCTCTATTCCGGAGGACAGTCCTCTTTTTGATCCCACTGTCATATTTTCTCTCGCGTATTGAAAAAGTCCTCTTTTTTACATACCAAACTCAAAATCTAAAAAATGTTGGTGTATCGCCACAAAAAAAATCTAAAACATTGTTAATCTGTGTTTTTCGCTACTCCCATTCGTTTGTACAGAAAACAAGGCGAAGAAATATTTATGTAAAAGAAATATTTGGTGGAAGCGATAAACATGTTTAACTATTTTATGTTTACTTATTGTTGGCTCATGTTTTGAAAATAAAGTTTTGTTAAAAATGGTGTGTTTTATTTTAACAAGCTTTAGGTATAAATCTTGTTAAGAAAGTAAGAAAGACTATCAATCGCATACCATTGACATAACTTTTTGGTAAATTCTAGACATTTGGGCGAGGTTTCAAAGAATGTTTCACCTATGCCTTTTGCACACTTTCCTCCTCGTTACAACCAAAAAAATGGCGTCTAATGTCACAAATTCTGCTGCAGCCCGTATATGGGCGTTACATGTCCTTGTATTCTTTAGTCATTGTGCTCCACCGTTGTCAGCAATGTTGTGATCCACCGTTGCCAGCAATGTTGTGATTCACCGTTGCCAGCAAAGTTCCACCGCTATAAAATCTCAACAAACCAGCATTATTGGTGTCACTGTCATTGGAATCACAACAACGCTTGCTAACGAGTCACGACCCCCACCCGTCACTATCTATCGTATCTTTTTACTCATTTATATCATCTCTTCTTACTATCCTGTAACAATATCAATAAGTTTTTTATTTATAGTTTGAGTTGACCACATAAACAACTGTTAGCGGATTGTTATTTATAAATAACAGTTAAAAGATAATGGATCGTTAAATAACAACCCGTCTCTTCTGGAAAGTCTGATTAAATTTTGTAACGCGGTGAGCTTTACAGTCACGAGTTTTCGCTCTTAGCGTTATTTTCGCACCTGTTATTTTTTGGAAATAACAATTGTTGCAAACCTAGCAAATTTTTGTGTAGTAGCGATAACATATTCCCATAACGAACCATTGCAGTCAGCGCACAGTTTCATATCTGTTATTTTCTGGAAATAACAACTGTTGCCGTAAAAAGTAACAAATGGTTAATTATCAGACTATGCTAAAAACCTGGTTAAATTCTGTAGCTTAGCGATCCTTACTTTAGAGCACGGACTTTCTCTTTCGGTAGTATTTTCACACTAGTTATTTTTCTGAAACTACTAACTGCGAACCCTATAAAATTAGTGTGTGCGGCATAAAATTAGTGTAGCTAGCGAACAGTTTCATATCTGCTTTTTTTTGGGGAATAACAATTGTTGGGAACTGTTATTTATAACGAGCAGGTAAAAGTTAACGAATCCGTTTAATTACAATCCGGCTATGCTAGAAAGCCATGTTAAGTTTACAATACGAGCTTTCTCTTTCGGCGTACTAGTATTTTCACACCTGTTGTTTTTCTGAAAGTACCAATTGTTGGGAGCCCGGGAAAATTTGTGTGCCACTGCAGTTTTATATCTGTTATTTTTTAGAAGTAACAGCTGTTGCGAACTGTTACTTATAAATAACGGATAATTAAATAACAGCCCGCCTCTGCTGGAAAGCCTAGTTAAATCGTTGTTGTTTTTCATCACGTGCTATTATTTTTATACCTGTTATTTTCTGGGAGTCCAAATGTTGTGAGATATTATGTTTAAATAAAAGTTTGTCTCCAGTTTTGAGTCTGATTTTTGATATTGTTGTTGTAGCGGGAAAGGAAACAGAAAAAACTCTATTCGGAAGACTGGGCCCTGGGCGACGAGGATGAGATCGAGGGCCGGCGCACCTTCAACCTGCAAGAGAAGCTGGAGGACCCGGCCTTCGAGGCCCACGGCATGGTGAAGGAGATGCGCGGCGAGGAACTGAACGTGGCCTATTTCCAGAAGTATGGCTTCAGCACGCCGCTGCTGTTCAAGGAGAAGACCGGACTAGGTAAATACAACTTATCTTGTTAAAGTTGTTTGTTTAGTTTGCGATAAGCGCTATTTCACATGGAGCGAGGCGTCCGCGTTGATCGTGTGTATTTTTAAAATCCGACGCAGTGATGCCAACTCGTGGGAAATTTCCCGATTCGTTGGAAATTTTTAGGTTCATAGGGAAAAGGGAAAGTTTAATCCAAAACATCATATTCGTGGGAAATTCTAAATTCTAGTATTATTCGTAAAAAATAGTTAATCGTATACGCATTTCTCAGCAAAGTGAGCAAATTCAAACTAGCATTACCGCAACTAAATACAGATTTTTGAAGTGCAAATATTTCTAGAAGGGTATATTTCGATCCCAGGAACACGCCTGTGAGCTTTTTTGCGTGAAAAACAAAAATTGAAAAGTATATTTCGAAATTTGTGTGGAAAATTCTTAAATTTTCATTTAAAAAAACGTAATATCTGTATTGTGTCTGTATTGACTGTGTCTTAAATAAGTGGATATATTTTTAGGGGTGGTATATTTCGACCCCAGAGTCTATGAGGTTTTTTCACAAAAAAAGAGATGTTGAAAATCCTGCATTTTTGTTTAAATTTTCCTGTATATTTTTAACTAAAATAATAACTCTTTAGAACTACCTGTTTATTTCAATTTTTTTTTAATTTTCAAACTTGAATAACTTGATTATTTTGAACTTATTTGAAAAACGGTAGAGAGAAAATATGTTTCTTTATGTTTCGTTTGTCAAGATCTACCAGCCCTGAAAATATTTGCAGTTATTTCAAACTCATCCCGACTCAATTTAAGAATTCGTGGGAGTTTTTAGAAAAAAAAAAGGGAAACTTTCACCGTCTTCGTGGGGAATTCTATTTCAGAAAGTTGGCAACACTAGTCCGACGGAGTACTTTCACTGTGTTGTCAATTTGCACATGTGAAACAACATTTATTGTTTATAACTATACATACATATATCACATTCGCGCGCAGATGGTCTCTCGAAGCAAGTGCTTGACGAATGGCCGTCGGACGAAATCATCTGGTACTTGTCTACAAAACTATTGGTACTTGTTGAACGAACGGACGATTCGCTCTATAGGCCAGTAAACGTAGCCGAGTATTATATGTAAAGGTGGAAAAAATTAGTAACCAACCAATCTCAACGGGAATACATAGATAATGATCTCCTATTTAACTCCTCAAAAGTCCCATTCGGTCCCAGTGGGGGAAGTTTGAAAAAAACCGCCACCATCTTGGATTTTTTCGTTTTTTTCAAATATCTCCGTTTGCTTAACTTTTTTCGAAAAAAACTAAAGATATGTTTTTTGTAGAGAATTAAATTTAAAATATTTTACCTTCAATCATTTTTTCCCTAAAATAAATAGTAATAAAGATAGAGCAATTTTTTACTCTACGTTTTATAAATTTTCCAGTTTTTTTAAACCAATCAGCTATAATTTTTGAGTTAACAGTATAGTGTTAATATAGATAAATCAAGTATAAATTTAAGCATTAAAACAATTAAAAATAACGTTTAAATATTATTTATTAAATAAAATTATTGTTAAAAAATTATTATTAAATTAAAGTTATTAAATGAAATCTGTTGTGACGTCATCCAGAGCGTCATTTTCGTCCACAACTAAAATAAAAGTTTGTGCAATTGATTCAGTAGCACTGCAATTGCAAAAAAAAAATAATTTTAGTAGGTCAGGAGGCGCCACATCTTCTGTTGATTGAATAGGTGTCAGATTGCCTTTTCGGTCTTTCTTCCATCCATATTGTAAATGATCTAACTTGTTACCAATCCATTCTTGTATCTAAAAAATACAACTTATAACATTTCCTATAATAGATATAGGTATCTTGACAGTTACCTGAAAGTATGTCCTGAGTAAATGGAGTTTTGCAGAATTCTCAGTTAAAGGTTTGTCTTGATGTAATCCTATTGTATAGAGTGTATATTAACTGGTTAATATGTTTAATATAGCTTGGGCACTGATATAGCTTTAAAAGATAATTTTATCCTGACTGAAACAAGTCATCTTTGTTAGCATTTTTTTCTAAAAATGCGTCGAGGTATTGACAAAGATTGTCATCTTTTTCATTTTTGACTTGTTTCAGTCAGGATTAAATTATCTTTTAAAGCTATGTTACTGTCCAAGCTATATTAAACATATTAACCATCTGAGATACACTCTATACAATATTATTACATCAAGGTAAGCCCTTAAGACCTACCTTCAATTTACCTAATTTGCCTCCAACTGAGAACTCGTTTAAATTAGATCTTTTAGGTATCCTAAACCAAAAAATTCTAGCGAAACGAAACCATAGTTTTCTGAAAATAGTCCAAGAATTTGCCAGAAAATTTATATTTTATAAACGAGGTGCGTAGATGTAAGCTTAAAATCGGATCAATTTTAACATTTGATGGAATACTTAAACGGTTGACGGTACTTACTAGTTTTAATGAAACCAGCCGCTAATTAGAAAATCGAGCGTCGAGTAGCCGTAGCGGTACAATGCGACGCGCTCGATGTCCGCCAACAAAATGCCGGGCAGCAGCAGGACGTCGCGTCGGTTTACTTACTCTGGCAGGACGTCGGATGCGTTTCTTCCGGCCGGTTGAGTAGGGACGTCCAAAAGTATCGATATGAGTTGTGTTATAAGAAAAATATCGATATACTAGTTGATCCACGGTTGCCAAAAAGATTTACATTTGTTTCGGTGTTTCGATATTTTAACGTTATTTTTTTCAATGAAAATATAAAAACAAAGGTAATATAATTTAAAAATGATTTCCTAATATACAGAGCGCGACTTAAGTCTTATGCCGGGTCCACATCAAACCAACAACACTTAAACAAAAAAATTGGCGCCGGGAGGCACGTATAGCCGCCCATACTAAAATATGTTAATAAAAAGTTGGTAGGCAGTCTTTTAGTTTCAAAGTAAAGGAATTTTTCCAATTTTGGGCCGCGGTTATTTCCCCTATCCGCCACCTGGGGTCGCGTCCGATGGGAGTTTGGAGTTCTCCACACGGATTTTCTCAAAAACGGACTACGGAAACACGGAATATCTGAAAAACTGCGACTTTGACTGATTTTGATGTTATTACAAATTTTGTTGCAATATATTATTCCTAATCTTAAATTGAAAACCGCGTTTCGCTAGCTACTGTAATTTTGGAGTTACGATTTTTAAAAAATTTTAACCCCCTCCCATACCCCTCACCCCCACTAAAAACTAATAGCCAGATTCTCGGGTGCCATAGTATTTTTGTGCCAAATTTGGTTAAAATCGGTTTAGCAGTTTTTAAGTTATCGTGTTACAGACGGACAGACAGAACATTTTTTGTGTTTAGGTCATTTATGACACAAATAACTCATTTTGAGTGAAATTAAAAAAAACTTTTTTTGCCGATCTTAATAGCCTACCATACCTGTTGGTATGGTCGGCTAAAAAAATGTTTTCATTATTTAGATATTTGATTAGCATAATCAGATTAGCCAACTATTTAAATGCTTGTTAATCGCTCAGTAAGAGTATTTTAGAGTAGTTGTATAGGATGCAGTTAGATAAAGTTTTCTTCGTTTTGTTCTAGGTCTGCGCGTTCCGTCTTCCAATTTTTCGATCAACGACGTAAGGGTGAGCGTCGGGTCGCGCCGGCTCCTCGACGTGATGGACGTCAGCACGCAAAAGAACAGCGAGATGACCATGAAGGAGTGGCAGAAGTACTATGAGGAGCCGAACAAAACCCGACTGCTTAACGTCATCTCCCTGGAATTCTCCCACACCAAGCTGGAGTATTACATACAAAGCCCCACCGTAGTCAGGTAACAAATGCAGTTCCTGGCAACAGGTGCAACGGTTTTTTTTATTGCAGATTGTGTGCTCGTCTTAATACCTACCTAAGTGTACGTTCATATTGACACCGCATGAGCGGTGAGCTTTGCGCGTCTCAAGCGTTGTAGCGTTGATTGAAAGAATTGAGAAGAACGCAATCTAATGAGCAAAGACGTGACAAGGTTGATTTGATTTCCCCTTACGTCTCACGTGCTATACGGTAGAGCCTCTAGTCGTTCTGCAGCCAACGCATAAAACACTCATTTTCAATTCGGCTAGCGAAGGCATATCAAAGACGGTGTGGAACTGAAAGCGTTACAGTGTTGCCATATTAAAATGTGTAATATCTGTAATATATTTGACCTTGATTATCGGGTATCGATACAACCATCGGGTACCTTTCTGATAAGTATATTTTTGTCGTTATAAATTATGAATTTAGTTTGGTACGACGTATATGTAAATTTTATCCTGTAGGCTGCTTTTACTTTGAAAATTCATCTCGTTGCATAAATACAGTTGTATAGTTCAAGAAGCGCTAAGAAATATGCCTACCTTTGAATAATATAATATAAACTAGTTTGGAATACAATAACAAGCACGAGAAATACCTTTTATATTAAAAACAAAATAAAGCCAGCTTAAAGATAGTTTGGAGCATATATGAAGGAGTATTTGAAGAACAGAGGGGACGGAAGAGGGAAACCAATCGCAAAATTCATAAAATTAATTTAAAGACCGAGCCAATCGTAACCGTTGAATTGTTCTGCAACCATACATACACGACGTCAACTAGCACCATCTATAGTGGGACTGATCGTTAATTTCTAATTTAATGCACCATAAGAGTAACTGGGCCCTGGGTACCGAATATTTCGTATGATCGAAAAAGTCGTTTAGTTGACTTGGAAACGTCGACTATTGACATTTACCATAATATTTTACAATTGAAATAACAGCAATCTTCATTTCCAGGTCAACTCTGACGTCGTTCTTTGTTTAATCATATAATGTTATATTAAATTGTTTAATGATAGAAAGAAAATCCGTATTATTAACGTACTGTGCTTAAAATCGGTAAATCTACGGATTAATCCGTAGTTCTGGCAACACTGTGTCCGGCAACCATCCATTCTGTCGACTGAAAGCAGAACCAGCGTTGTTACAAGGGCAAAAATTTTTGTACTATAAATGGTGTCGAAATTGTACTTTTTTAAGCGGGATTGTACATTTTTGGTGCAAAAATGTGGGGTCATGTGATCTCTCTATTTACCTTTTTACCAAGTTTTGGTACGTAGGGTGCATCCACACTATCCTAAAAACAGCGGAACGGCGTATTGGCTTAACGACCTTGAATCAATTTCCTGCAATTCTATTGGCTGAAATTTTTGCCAGGTGAATTTGACAGATAAAATTTCTGACAGACGAATTTTTCAGCCAATAGAATTGCTGGAAATCGATTCAAGGTCGTTACGCCGATACACCGCCGCCGATCCGCTTTTTTAGGATAATGTGGATGCACCCTCACAGAATTATACACCATATGCTGTCCTCCTTTCACGCAGTTGAGCAGCTCTGCACTGTTCAAGAACGCGATACTCTCCCTCCATTCAATTGAGTCATAAAGTTCAGAACTGGTTGCGCGCCATATGGAGGCACCAGGCTATCTCGCACAGCTCCTTTCAGAACCGTTCTGAGCAGCCCAGGGCGTAAAGCTCTGGAACTTGAAATTCGCAAATGGAGGACAGCAATACAGAAGCTACAAAGAGCTTTGAATAGCGTTGGTTAAATGGGAACTAATTGCGTGACGTCACGTTTGACATCGGGACACAATAGATCTCTAAGGTCGCTGTGATTAGCCCCCCTCCTACTCACCGCACGGATATGAAACTTACGTTTGACATCCGTGCGGCTTGAACAGCATTTCAAGTGATGTATAATTCTGTGCCTCTGCTCCTAGCGACCCGCATTTCAAATCCACGCATCGCGTATCACCGTTCGTCTAAAAAATATGTACGTGGGTTTAAGTTTGGGTTAGTTTGGGTTTGAGAAGTAAGAATTGTACATTTTTTCTTGCAATTGTACCTATGTACTCCTTGACTATCAAATGTACCCAAAATAGTACAATTGTACCTATTGTAACAACACTGAGCAGAACTAAGGTACAGTATTCTTTATCCGCTGCGCTGTAAACTAAATCTAAGACAGGTTGACTAGCAGCGACGGTATCAGCAGCCAGTGCCTTCTATTAAAAGATCAGCCTACGGGCGAGATTTATGACGTCACGCTAGTTAGATATAACGGATTAATAAATATGTTGTAGAATACATGGAAAACATAATTATTCCTCAGATTTTTGGTTTGTATTTTAAAAGTGATATAGTTTAAATGAAATATACATAATATACAGTTAATAACTACAACATATATACCTATTTATAGTAATAAATACTTTGGCAAATAAACTATGAACCATACAAATGCAGCAAATGTTTTACAATGTACAAATAATGTATAGGTACATAAGATAATGGGTAAAATGTAAATATATTTTAAATTTTAGGGTTTGAAAATCGATCTAATTTAACAAAAAACATTTAATATTTACTAATAGTGATGTATTATTATTTGCATTCACAAAATTTATATGTATATTTTGCAAGTATCAATGTTCGAAAAATTATATTTACAAATAATACAATATTATCTAAAAAAAGGCGTCAGCGATGGCTATGAAATGAAGATCGCTGGCATTTTATATGTTAAATTATTCTAAAATTTTTGATTTTCTTGGGATTTTAGGTTCGGGAAAAACGCTGATTAAGTTTTCATTTGGGTTTTCATTATTTTTATTTGGTTTAAAAAAAACGTTTCGGCTAACTATAGCCTTCACTGTTGTGTCATATGAGAAAAATAGTGTCGAATATAATCCAAAAATTACATATACAATATAATTCACACCTCATAATGTTTACTGCAATTAATAAACTAATATAAACTTATCAAAAGATGACCACATATTTTTAAAATTATTATTCTTAACACTAAAATTATCTACATTGACTATGGAGTACGCAGTAAACATTATGTGCGTGGTGTGAATATTTTATATGCAATTTTTGGATTATATTCGACACTATTTTTCATATGACACAACACTGATGGAGGCTATAATGTTAGCCGAACCGTTTTTTTAAACCAAATAAAAATAATGAAAAACCAAATGAAAAATCAATCAGCGTTTTTCCCGAACCTAAATTCCAAGAAAATCAAAAAATTTAGAATATTTAGAATCAAGGTTCAAGAATATCAAATTTTCCAAGATTGTAAAATTCTAGTTAATTATTTTATGTGTACAGTTATTTAGGGAATGTCATCGATATTCATTTCCAAGCCAACTAGACGCCGATTTTTTTCGATGATACGGTATAATTCTTACGTAAAATGTAAATAACATTAGACCAATTAAAACAAAGAAATATGAATTTCTTAGTATTTTTTAGTAACACCTTTATTCTTAAAACTTAATTTTGTATTATGCAAATATACCAATTTTATTGTTATTTTATTCATATTGTATTCAGCCATCACTTAAATATTTGATATTAATTTGGTATTATAAATAATCAATACTATTCATTAAAAATTACTGAACAAATATATGTTATGCTTAACATACATTATATATTATCAAACAAAAACACATTCTTCTTTTAAACTGTATCAGTCTTGTCTTTACAAAAATCTTTTTTAAAATTTGAACTCAAAATAATAATCTTTTTCATGATCTCTAATACACATATTCTTTATTTTTCCCTAGTTCATAATACCTACTTACGTGTTTGAATCTATCGAAGCTGAACCGGCAACACTTGGAGTGGAGATTCCACAATATGAATAAAATAAACATAATTGTCCAGTTTTCATTAATACCATCATGGGAGAATATTATTTTTAAATTTATTAAAGATATTTTCAATAAAATTCTCTTGATTTATAACTCGTACCCACTTTTCTTGCTCTTCCGGACACTTTAGGCTGCCTAGTATAATAACTATCCTTTCCACCAGGAACACAACAAAGATGAGGCATAGCACCAATAACACACTCCACTTAAGCTTTATTGATGAATTGTTAGAGTCTTAAAAAACACACACAAAAATCACGATAAGTAAAAATGTATGGGCACTTTTAGGTTAAATCACTTGCACAACGTGTAATTTTTAAAATTTCTATTTTTTATGCGAAACCGAGAGTGACCATATATCTGGTAGTAGTTTATGTCACTTCAACACCAAAATAATTAGTTTTTTGCACTACAATAATAAATAATACCAAAAATCAAAGAGTTAAAACCAAAAATCAACCGACAAAATATGAAACGGAATCTAACCCAATATCTAAGTATGTACAGCTGATGAAGTAAACAAAAGTCCGCCCGTAGGCTGATCTTTTAATAGAAGGCACTGCAGCAGCTACATCTCGGACAGATTTTGTACCACGAAATCGGCCATAAGGTTGCGCATCTTCTTATTAGTTTTTTTTGTTGAGTCAAAACGTATCAGGAGTAAAACCGTTTTAAAAACGTTTTACTTGAACTGAATTAACATACTAAATCTCGTTTTTTTATTTGAAAAAGATGTCGGAGTTATCCATTTTTGAAAAACACCCGGTATTTTACCATCGTGTAATAAGCGACTTTCAAAATGTTATGTAGTTAATGTATAATGTAGTTATGTATGTAGAAGGGGGATATTAATATTGTATACAGGGTGGTCCGAATTGTATTCCGGAAACATCGGCCACATATTTTGCAGATAAAAATAAGTAAAAAAGTTTGTATAAAAATATGTTCTAAAATGCTTAGTTTCGGAGATACAGGGTGTAGAAGTTACATTTTTATTTCGATTTTTTCCAGATAATTTCTGAAGTAACGTCAATATTTGGATGAAAATTGGTTGATGAGTTTTTTGATATGAGAAATTTGATTTTGATGTCAATATGACTCCTCTTTGTAGGGGGCCACCTACATATGTTTTAACTATTTTGAAGAGTAATAACTTTTCGTCCGTACCTGTATAAAACTACTGAGTAAAAAAATATTAATTTCCGTGATTTTGCATTGGTAAAAATCGCTACGAGCAACCGTTCTCAAGATATTTAGAATGGAACTAGTCAATTCATGTCATTATTGACAAAAAATAAACACGTTGAGTGGATAGTTCTTTGACTGAAATAATAAATTTTGGAAATTTTTATTTTTTTAAATTTATCATACATTTTTCTGCAAAAAAATGATGATAAAACAGTTTCTGTTAAACTTTTGGCACAAAAACATTTCAAATTTATGATTTCATTCTAATAACTATTTAGTCAACATGTTTAATTTATGTCAATCATGACAGATTTTGATAATTTCGATTCCAAACATCTCGAGAACCATTACTCGTAGCGATTTTTACCAAGAGACCTTCTTTACGTAAAAAACTTCGTAAATGTATATTTTTTACTCAGTAGTTTTATGCAGGTACAGACGAGAAATTATTACTCTTCAAAACAGTTAAAACATATGTAGGTGGCGCCTCCTACAAAGAGGAGTCATATTGACATCAAAATCAAATTTCTCATATCAAAAAACTCCCAGACACCAATTTTCATCCAAATATTGACGTTACTTCAGAAATTATCAGGAAAAATGGAAATAAAAATGAAACTTCTACACCCTGTATCTCCAAAACTAAGCATTTTAGAACATACATTTATACGAACTTTTTTACTTATTTTTGTCTGCAGAATATGCTGCCAAAGTTTCCGGAATACAGTTCGGATCACCCTGTATAATACTTAATTCTGTATTAATAGGCAAATTGACTGGGTTGACTGCGTTTGGCCCAGACACCTTAAGGAGAGCCAAATAGAAGCTACAAATGTCCTAGAAGAAATGAAATACCCCAAAGTACAAAAATACTGTCTCATGTCAGTAAAGGGTTGTTACACAGATTTTCACGTCGATTTTGGCGGAACATCTGTTTGGTACCACATACTGAAAGGTTTGTTAATAATTTTTATCTTAAGAGATTAATGATAAGTTTTATTTTGTTAGTAAATAGATATTGATTTTTGGACTTGATTTGAATTTGAACTAAAACAACTGAAAAAGTTCACAATGCAAATTTACCTTAAATATCTATTTTCATCCTGAGAATTTTAATTTATTGTTGGAGTGACTTTTTTAAATAAAAACGTATTGCAATATTTTGATGGGATGCGACTCATCATCTCAATATAAGCTTTGCCGCTGGAAACGAACTTCTTTTCCACAACAAAACTAATCAAGGTTTTTTTTTCATAGGTTGTAAAGTCTTTTGGCTGATTCCACCCACCGAACACAATATTGATCTCTATGAACGTTGGTGTCTCTCTGGAAAGCAGTCCGATATATTTTTCGGAGATACGGTAGAAAAATGTGCCAGGTAAGAATCAAACCATTAAATTGTATAGGAAATTAGACTGTTTATGTGTTTTCAGGATAGTTTTACATGCTGGAAATACGTTTTTCATACCAACAGGATGGATACATGCTGTATACACTCCGTTAGATTCGTTGGTTTTTGGTGGCAACTTTTTGCACTCTTTCGGAATAGAGAAGCAGCTTAAAATTGCTCAAGTCGAAGATACGACAAAAGTAAGTAATCATTTCTATTCTTAAATCTGTCTAGACCAAAGCATTGAATAAAAATACCGTGAAGGGAGCATATATAAATGAAACAAGTTTAGATTGAAAAGTGCCCGTAAGAACAATGTAAATACTATTTACTATTTGGCGCTGTTTTTGCATCGGACACGATCGAAAACTTTTGATCATTTCGGAGCGGTTCGGCTTTTTCCGGAATTATATCGCCAAGTATTATTTATTCAAATTTATTATTATTTTCTTTTAATTTTATAAATAAAATACAGTGTGTTACATATAAGACACTTTACTTTATATAAGGATATGTATGAAATACCTAAAATATAAAAACAGTAAAAACAGTGGGAAGCAAAAACATAATTACTGTATTACCTATAATATTCATTATAATGCCTAGGTCACAGTTAGAGACTCATATCACAGATTATAAACTTATCGTCAAAAGAATTGTTTTTCGTGGTTCCAATTTTCGGAGTCGCGCACTAGTTAGGTTACTAGTTTGTACACGCCCACTTATTGCCTCTAAAATTGTGCACAGCGCTGACCGGCCCAGTTATTACGCTGTTTAAACGGGAGTTTATTTTTGCGCACAAGAAAATTTACTCGTTTGTTTGCTCATCGTCATAAAAAATAATTTTCGTACCATGAATTAGGGACAAGATTTTTATCTGTATACTTATAGGATACCTAATCTGTGCTCATATCCTCCGGGTCTAACAATATTAACACACGGTTGTAAAACATGCTACAAAGAAAACAAGGTATGATCGATAGCGGATCCAATTCGTTCAGTTTGCGCATATCACCAGAGAGGTCATATGCCATACAAAAAATATCCATATTGTTCAATTGCCACTAATAAAAAAAGACCTAAAATAGGGAAGAATTAGGACATAACCCCAAAAGTCATCGAGCATGACATTTGAAAAATTATTTTCAAATTTATTATGTGTCATCTGTTTGACAATTTGAAATTGACGCGCGGAACTTGCCGACCAGTGGTGCCGTTTATCACCTGTGACGTAGTGACCAACCTGCGCAATATCATTCCTTGTTTTCTTTGTATCATAGTTAATATGAGGATAATTTTTTGAAAACCGATAATAAGCAATGCTGTTTTTTGCAGTTCACAGTTCACACAGCTTTTTAAGTTTTTTTAATGTCACTTTTCCACTATCACGAGTTTGCGTAAATAAAATTTAAATTAAACTCGAAAAAAAAACAGCGTAAAGTTGGAAATGACCCTATAAAATTATGGCTCATATTTTACAACTCATTTACAAACGTTCTGTATATTTATATATTTTATGATCCTATGTCACATAGTATTTGTTTAATTTAGGTGCCACAAAAATTTCGATACCCCTTCTTCACGGAAATGCTATGGTACGTTCTCGAACGCTACGTTCACTGCCTTTTAGGGAACTCCCATTTGACCACTGGCCAAGATGCTCCAATACCACCTGATCGACCGCACATTCACTTGACCCAAGCCGAACTCCATGGATTAAAAGTAAAAAAAAAATCTTATATTATTTTACCTCTTACGATTGTTATTATAACTAAATTTATAGGATATTGTACGGTACCTTCACTTGCTACCACCTAACAAGAAAAATCTTCCAGACCTCATAAGGGATCCTATAGCCCTTATTCAAGATGTGAGAACGTTGATAGGTATACACCGGCAGGACATCAGGGAGCTGGCGATAACGAACAAAGCAGTTCTTAGTCGTAAATATTAAGGTTATGTCACATTGTAACCTATTTTAAAACATGTATTTGTTTTAGTACCGGAGGACCCTGACAAACGAAGGCAGTACAATAAGACCAATATTAACCAGAACGTTCCTAAAATTCCTAAACCGCCATCTACGTTTAAGGGCCCGAAATCTATACCGGGTTCTGCTTCTGGAGACAAAGGAGGGCCTCGGAGACGACGAACGAGGTTAGTGGTACTTTTTGCTTCATAAGGTAGATTGAGAACGTTACTTTGAATGTAGTAGGCAATGATCCATTGTTGAAACTAAAAGAATTTTGGACTTCCGCTATATGCAGTGACCAAGAATATCTGAATTTTGATCTAAGTAATATTAAAACCGATTTGCTTCAGAATGGTTACTCTGAAAAATCCCTAGACAATATTATGTCCAATTGCAGGTCCGACTCATTGGTGCGCCAGCCTAAGGAGGATGCTCTCTCTCTCTCTCTCTCTCTCTTGACAATTACATATGTGAAAGGAACATCGGAGATTAGGCGAATAGCTAAGCAATATAAAATTAAAACTGTTTTAACATTGGAAATGTTTATGTTCGTATATGGGGCCCAAATTTCGAGTTTTCTTTCAAGGTCGTCAGCAACGGTGTCGCACTAGCCGCACATTCGACCAAATTAAAGCATGAAAACTTTGTCGCGGGGTGCCTAATTTAGGTGAATGGCCTGACAGCACGAAAGTCTCGGCGATATACGAGGTTTAATTTTGTTAGTCCCGACGATATTAGCTTACTTCGGGTTTTTCTTATTACCGATTTTGAACCGTCCTAGAACTGTGATACGCATGCGCAGAAGGAAATATGGAGAAATTATTTCATTAGCGCATACGCGGCAGAGTTCTAGGACGGTTCAGAATTCAGAATCGGTAAGAACCCGAACAAAGCTATTACTTGACGACTATGCTACGGGGGGCGATTATAAAATTGAATAGATTGATATTGATATTTGCAAAGGTTACAAAACAGTACTATTTTCGTAATTTTTGATTTTTCAATTGACAACTTTGTGTTGACAATGATTTGACAATTATTTATGTTGTTTGTAATGAAATGATATTTTTATTTAGGTATTGATATATTTCAGAAAGGATTTAAGGATTAAAAGATATAATATATTTACTTAATTTCAAGGTATCTGCATGAAAAATCAAGGCTATTTTTATAAGGTGTTATAAAATATATTATGAATATTTAAATATTTCTTCTTCTTCTTTCTCTGCTTATCCATTAATGGATGTTTGCGACCACATTTTCCATGGCTTCCCTATCTCTGGCTGTGTGGATCAGCGCCTGTATGTTACTAATGCCTGTGCACTGTCTTATGTTCCGCAGCCATGACATTTTTTTCTGTCCCAAACCTCTTTTGCCCTCGATCTTGCCCTCGATAATCAACTGGAAAAATGTGTATTTATGGTTACGCATGACGTGACCCAGGTATGCGGTCTTTCTTTTTTTTTATAGTGTTGAAGAGTTCACGTTCTCTATTAACACGTCTTAGTAAATCCTCGTTTCTTATCTTGGCCGCCCATGGTATCTTGAGGATTCTGCGGTATATCCACATTTCGAAAGCTTCCAGTTTTAAATATTTAAACAAACCTAAAATAAAACAAAATAACGTTGAACTACTCTCTATTAATTCTTTTTTTAATTATGTTTATTTTTTCTTCTAATCATTATTAGTTATTATTATTAAGAATGATCAAGTTTAGCTGCAAATATATAACGTTAATTATGTTTTATATGTGGTGTTATCATTTCCAATGTCTCTGATGGTTGCAACGATTGCGAAATCTGTGAGTTTTTAAGTCTGATACTACTCTAAGAAGTGTCCTAACAAAAACAAAACTTGAATCATGAGAGAGTGCATCTACCTTGTGCAGGTACCTACGAATGCGGTGAGTCCTATATTGGAGAGACAAAACGTCCTCTACATTGTACGACTTGACGAACATCAAAAAACATACCGAAAGAGGTGAAACAATGAAGTCGGGCATTGCAGATCATGTGTGGTCCAAGCACCACGACATAAAATGGTCAACACATTTGCTACAATATAAAAGGACACGACATAATAAAAAAATCTATAATTTTAGGTGTAAAAAATGTTCAGCGTGTCAAAGAGCAGATTGTGGCGAGTGTACTTTTTGTCTGGATATGGTTAAATTCGGTGGACCAGGTAGAGCCAAGCAGACTTGCAACATGAGACAGTGTTTGCAACCGATGTTACCAGTGACGGCAGCTTGCGCAAGGTAGAAAATTACAATTCATTATCTGACGGATGGATCTGAAGCAAAAAAAGCAAAATTGCTTGATATTAAATATAAATTTAATTGATTTTTAGTTTACTCCAGCATACATAATTATATATTTTGTTAATTTTCATGTAGTGCTTGTTGTTAGATGTATCTTTATTTAATTGTCTGATTTCCTTCATTTTGTCTATTACAAAAGGTAAATATTAGAGGTAAAAGGTGAAAGATATCATCCGCTTCGGGTAAGCCGGCAACGCTGGGTAAATTCATCATGTCACCCTCAACCAACCTGATTGGTGTAGATTTTCGCACGTATTCCTGTTGGCCTGAAAAGTATTACTGCTGAAAGTATTACTGCTACTCCCAATTTTATGTCCCTCTCAGAAATAGTAGAAATATTGACCAGTATTCAAATATTCAGTGGCGGTGTTATTGTATTGTATTTAAACCTTTAACTTGATTCGTGCATATAATTAGTACACGATTTCTAAAAAATATTACTATATTTAGCAAATCTTAAAAATATGCAGATACATTTAAAATAAAATCTAATATATAAAATTCTCCGGTCACAGTTTTAGTTACCATACTCTGAAACGGCTTGACCGATTTTATTGAAATTTTATATGCATATTCAGTAAGTCTGGGGATAGGTCGTTATCTATTTTTTATACCCCTAAGTGATAAGGGTGGTCCACCCTTTTTATTTTTTGGGTAATTTATTTTATTTTTTTTATGATGTGGCATTAAAAATACATAATACCCTACATTTTTACCCTTCTACCATCAACCCCGTGAATAAAAATGTCTGTTGTTCCATAAACAATATTTATATGGCAAAAAAACGTTTGCCGGGGCAACTAGTAATATTATAAAGTTTAGTGGAAAATATAGATTTTTTTTTCATAAAACACCGCACACTTTTGGATATTTTATGAATGAAAATGTTTTTAGAAAATTGCGTTTCCCTTATAGTTGCCCAGTAAATTTAGATCCGTCTGTCAGACCGTACTGTTTTTTTAATTGAAAAATAAATAAACTTAACATAATTATGTTTTAGATGTGGCTTAGATGGTTGGATGCAGACCCCTGTAGCTCCTTTACAAAAAGGACCTCAACGATGCGATACGGCCAGTTCTCTTATGGAATGTTCTGTAAGTATTTCTGACATATTTATACTAGAGTTTAGTCTTGTTATTGGATCTGTTAAGTCTTTTTTGTAGCAGTAGTCGATGTTCAAAAATTATTATTGGTTATTTGATATTTTCTTTATAGGTCTGTTATGAAATAGCCCATCCTCCTTGTATACAACGCTTATGTCAAGACTTTACCGGATACATTAACGAAGACATGCCAAACTCCTGGGAATGCCCTCTATGTTGCAAATTAGGTAAAAACACGGACTATCGGCCGAGGCATTTCAGGGCGAGACAGAAATCGTCGGACATAAGAAGAATTAGTATAAGTTCGGACGCTTCCAGCGCGTTTGAAAACAAAATGCAACCTGATACACATTCGGATTCTGGAAGTGAAAATGACCAAAAAGACTCAAAGGTAAGTGACTTCACTAGTCTAGAACTAAAAGAAATTGCAACAGAAAGTAAAAAAAAATATACTGACACATACTAATACTACGACTACTACTGTCATTACTCGCTGACGAGTATTTGACACGCATGAGAAGATGGTTACGCAAGTCGTTTTTTTTTTCATAAGCTTTTCTGTGACTGAAAAGCCCGATACGTGATGTTATCTCTCTTCCGCACTCCGGACATTCAAAAATCTCATTACTTTGTTGCCTCTTTACTTTTTGGTTGTCGCTGTTACTGAGTTTACAGTTCTCCATTGCGTTGTATTGTGCGCTGCTTCTTCCCACTGATTCTGCATGTTTATCCCCTTTAAGTTTTCGTGGAAAATGTCCTTGTACCTTTTAAGTTTCCTCTTACGGTCTAGAAGTTCCCGTAAAGAAGAGATTTTGTTAGGCGATTTTCTTGCATTCTGCATACGTAACCAGTCCATCCTAAGCGGGATTTAGTAATCATGACTTCAACGCTCTTGCAGGGACCAAATTATTGGTGAGACCAAATGACATTACTCGCAAATTTTGAAGTATGATTGGTGGAAAAAGTTAAAGTTTGTTATTTTGTTCTATTAATTGAAAATTACTACCACTAATTTTGACGTTCTGATTGTTTACATTGAAATTATATGAACTAACTTCTACGCTAATTCAAACTACTAATTTCGAGGATCTGCTTATATCTTGAAAACAAAGCCGTTCTGGACAAATATTTATATTTACTTTTATGTTTGCTTATGAGTCCTGAAAACACAAACCTGATGTATTGACCTTTCCTCATGCATCACTGTACAGATTATAGTACTGATTTTGCTTACGGGATGTTTTCTTTTCCATCTTCACTAACATAAAATTTGGCTGGTGGGTGGGCGTGTGCTCTTGTGCCTTTAATAACCAAACCGCCACTGAATCTTTTTAGTTAATAATATTTTTTTAGGACTTACTACCAATCAAAAAACGACGATCCAGCGAAAACTCGGAAGTCGACACAAAGATGGCGCCACTGCCGTCAAACGACAATAACAGGAAGACGGCGTTTAGAATGCAGCTGGCGCAGCAAATCGTATCGAACACGACGAAAGTACTGAAGAAACCCATGGTCGTCGTGAGGCCCGCTCCCGTCATGATGCTCAATCCTCTCGTACCGACCAATAACTTGGCCCTGGACAAACGGGTTATATTATCTATATTTAGATACTTATCACCGAAAGATTTACTTAACTGCGCTCTAGGTAAGTTTTTATTTCTAGGTACCATATGATCGGATTAAAACGACTTTATAGTAGGTGTAGAAATAACATTTGACACCTGCGAGCTTTTTTTTATTTAAAGTTCTTGTTAAGCGCTAAAACTAACATATAAAAATATACATAGAGTCTATTCAGTAATACATTATATGATCGACATGTCTGTCGTTTTACATCAAAAGTATTTTCTGTCATGTTTCTGTTTGAGCCTAGATGTCTCAGCTTATATCTGGCGCCTCTGGCTAGATGATGTGATTGTTAGATGCTGTTGTTTATATTAGCGACAACAAATGCTGACAGTAATACACATATTTACTTTTTGAATATTCAATCACCGCTGTTATCCTACGGTAATCGCAAAACATTTTCCGGTGCACGTCATCAATCATATCGAAATTGACATTAAAGCCTATAAACCTGACTAAATGAAATTTTGGCAAAAATGTTTGAATTTGTTGTATAATTTAAGATACCGAGCAGCTCTTCATTTTACTTTATAAAGCAAATGATTGTAACATATTTTATTTAGATTAAAACTGCAAAAATTAGTTTAAACCGAATTTTATTATCGCTGTGTTGGTCACATTGCAACAACGTGCTCAGCAACGTTGTCGTTTATTATTTGATAATTATCATGTCAGTCATTATTTTGTATAATATCGTGTTGTTGTTGAATGTTTGTGAGTAATTCTCGTTTTTAGCCTAGTTTCATCGTATTTTTTTAAAAATTGTTCTTTTAAGCACAAACAGTTCTTTTAAGAACTAAATTTTCGAGTTTTTGTATTGCATTTCTTGAAATTGTGTGTTGAAAATATGCCGCAGCATTTAAACAGTCGAAGCAAAGAGCTTGTAGCTTCCCTGATAAACTATTTTGAACGAGAATGTAACAATAAAGGTGCTTTATTACCCTTGATTGCAGCCAGAGAAGTAAGTTTGATTGGTAACCACATTTTACCACTTTCAAAGTTATTTCTGCGTTAGTTTTTTGAACTTTTTAACTACTTTACAATAACTGTTTTTTCAATACATAGGTACTTTGTATGTATTGAAAGAAAATGTAAGTATAAGTTACACAAATGTAGCTGTCTTATATTTTCTTACTTTCTTTTTGAGAGAAACTGACAGACATTTGTCACTAATGTCAGATATTCTTTCTCTGGATAGACTGTATCACTATCATTAAATTTAGCAAAAGCGATAGTAAAGCTGGAATGATAATATTATTTCAACCCTTAAGCTTGATTTTCATGCATCCGTTATCCGACGATGATACGATATTAATTTTATTCGTTGAATTTAAAGACTTCGATTGATTAGAAACGTTTAACCAATTGAAGTCTTTAATCATCGAGAATCATCGTATCGTCGGACAACGGATGCATGAAAATCAAGCTTTACAGCGACGTCGTTTTCATCCTGTTATACAGTATAATTCCTATTAATAATAAATTTTAACATATTTTATTGATAGTTTGTAAAACATGGGCTACATACTCCATCGACCCGTCACTTTGGAAACGCATGGAGTTTGACCACAAAAAAATATCCAGTGATATGCTAAAAGGCACAGTGCGACGACAACCCGAAATTTTGAGTCTCAAATGGTGCAGAATTAACCACTTTCAGCTGCCTTGGCTCATACAGAGGCTAAACAATTTAAAACAGCTCTATCTGCAGAGTATAGATGTAAAATCAGCCATTTCGTTAAGGACGAACCACTCGGCCATTTTGCAAGTGCTCGATTTGAGCTACATCTCCGATTTTAATGATTCAGCTTTAAGGGAAATCTTAGGTAAGTGTTACTTGACTTTGTTGTCCTATATTGTGATTGTTAACACAACAAAAAAACACATAGTGTATGGTGCATCGGAACACTGGACATAGGAAATCCCATGTAAATTTTGAAAAGGTAATATATTATCTCCCCAGACGATTTTATGCAAAAATATTGAGACTTTTGAAGAGGCGTTAAAGTTGTACTTTCATCTAGAATTTCGTTTTATTTGGAATAGGTATCTAAAAGTTATTTGCACAAATCTACCTTCAAATTACTAATAATTTATAATACAGTCCATATAGTCTAAGAGCTAGCAACGTTTTCGAGAAAGTATTTTAAGACGTCTGGCTCTTTGATATATCTTTTACTATGCCCTCTGGAACAGCATGCGGCCCGTCTGGCTGCCGATTGCGTTCACTACTGCGCATCGGAAGACGATCGAATCGGAGTTCGAATCGGGGTCTGGGCAAAGACTTTTTTATTTTATTTTCGTTTATACTCTGATAATAAAGTATTAAATAATTCTGGTGATTAAAAAAAACAAATATTTAATACTTTACAGAACCTCTACGAGCTGAGCTATGGAGACTCGGTCGGTTTATATTCAATACTAGAATTTAAAGGACTATTAAAAATATAGGATCTTCTTTCAATACCCAGTAGGGAACGCAACGTTTACCGGCAGCCAGACGGGCCGCATGCTGTTCTAGAGAGCATAGTAAGCGATATGTCAAAGAGCCAGACGTCTTAAAATACTTGTTTTTCCGACGTTGCTAGCTCTCGTACTAATAGAAAACTACAATTAAAATACCAGCAAAAATATGATTTTGTCATTGTCAAATTCGATGTCACATTTTTTTGTTTACAAGAATTATGTGGTTTGGAAAGGATAGTCAATTTTTTTCTGAATTGGAATGATTATCTACAAAAGAATTAGTTGATTTCGTGATTAGAGAGACATAATTACGGTTCATTACTTACTTTGCCCGATCACTCGCAAGCCTCGCTCATACCACATAATACATCCACAATAATTTTACAAATAAAAGAAATATTTATAACTAAAGGAACTTTATTAAACTATACTAATTAATAAAATGTTTACATGCCCTCATTCACAGCCATACAATACCCCAAATGATTGTTAAATTCACTCCTCACACGATCATTCACAATGTCTAAAAAACACAATTAAAATTAATAAAATATCCTAGCAACAGCTTGCGGTAGTCTGTTGTATCCGTTGTATCCATAGAGAAAGCATAATATTTAGCTTATAAAACAATAAATTTTTGATTTCTAACCAAAATTTTTCTTGATAGATGATAATCAAATGCCAAAATGACATTCCTCGCAAATTTTGAAATATAATTAGTGGAAAAGTCAAAAGTTTGTTATCTTTTTCGACTAATTGAAAATTACTACCACCAATTATGACGTTCTGAATGCTTACATTAGAAATAGGTGAACAAACTGCTACGCTAATTGAAACCACTAATTGCGAGGTTCTGAATGAAGCTTAAAAAGTATAAAGTGTAATTGAAACCACTAATTGGGAGGTTCTGAATGAAGCTTTAATTTTACTAATTTGAAGGTAGATTTTTGCAAATTAACTTTTAAATGACTACTCCAAATGAAACGAAATTCTAGACAACAGTACAATTTAATGCCTCTTCAAAAAAGTCTAATACAACTTTTGCATAAAATTATCTGAGGAGATAATATTTGACCTTTTCAAAATTTACATGTGATTTCCTATGTCCCATGTTCCGATGCACCACACGGTATATGTGACCTTCCATTCTATAATTTCCGAATATTCATACAGAACTAACCTTAAAAAAAGTAGCATATTTTTAGGTTATGTGTATGAAACATGTTGTATTGTGTTGTAGCTTATGTATTTTGTGTTAACAATCATTATGTATAGGAATCTTAACCAAAACGAAATTTTAACCAAATATTAATGTCTAAACATTAATATCAGGTACAAATAACGACGCTCGTTCTGGTTTAGCGGGCGACAAGATCCGATTCCGCAACCTGAAGACTCTCAAGTTAGCCGGCACCGACATTACCGACATAGCCATGCGCTACGTCACCCAGTACTTGCCCAACATCCAGCACCTAAGCCTGAGCATGTGCCCGCGCATTTCGGACGCCGGCATCGCTCAGTTGACCACCAAACCGGCCAACACGGTGGTCAATCTGATCAGTCTCGATCTGAGCCACGCCAAACTGGTGACCGAGGCCAGTTTGGATCACTTGGCCAAATGCGAAAAGTTGACTAGATTAGATTGTAGACAGGCGTTGAACGTTTCCACTCAGGCGTTGATTAAGTTTGCGGCGAAGAGCAAACACGATTTGCAAGTAAGGGAGATAAAATTGGTGGATATTAGACAGAGGCCTATTCAGTGAATTCCAAACTGCGACGCGTTCATTATTTAAGAAATGAACGTTACTTCCAGCTTTTTTCATATTGAAACTAAATGACATGGGGTTAGATTGGTAAGAATTATAATCAAAGTTAATTTTGTTTTGTAATACATAATACACCAAACGATTTATTGGTGTTACATTTCAGACTACTGAAATATTTATGTGTGGATGTTAATTAATGATGTTAAATTCAATTCTTATAAGACTAAACTAAAACTTTTTTTGACAATGTTATGTTTCAGTTAGTCTAAATCAGTACATAAACATGTATAAAAGAGAGGCTAACCATATACATCGATTTATTTTTACCCAACATATGCAAGCAAAATGTAAACAACCCGTTTGCTTATTTACAGTGCGATTTGACCACAGATCATTGGCGTAGTTTCAGGATCTTTATAAAAATAGAATAAGGGTGTTAAATACACAAATATTTACAAAATATTTATACCTCTGTGGCGAATTCATCTCTTTGAAAAAATCCTCTGGATATTTCGCCATTTGCACTGTAAAAAAATTACAAAATAAAATTGTTATGTTTTGTAACTGAAATATCTACAGAATACATATAAGCTCCAAAACTCCATTTAAAAAAAAACTAATGACATATGAAGAGCACAAGGGAAAAACGATGAAAGTCCATTTTTTGCTAATTTGGTTTTAATGCACAATAATTTTCCGTCTTAAAAAGCTACACCTTTTGATACCTAAATATATACGGGAATATCGATCACATAGGCATTGATGTTGATTTATTTTCATACTAACCAATACAAGTAGTTTTCGAGTTTCTATCTACTATGTAAATCAATGACTAAAGAATATAAGGACATGTAACGCCCATATACGGGCTGCAGCAGAATTTGTGACCTTAGACGCCATTCTTTTGGTGGCAACGAATGAGTCATCAGCTGGTCACCAACGACAATTTTAGCGATTTTTAATAGTTTATGTGTAGTGAACTTTGTATAAACTTTATTACAATGGATATTAGTTGTTCAGCTTTCAAGTGTAAAAGCAGCAGCGATAAGAAAGAGCCAGGAGTTACGTTTCATAGGTAAATAAACTGTCCGCTCCACCTTTTTAGCGTTTTCTTAGTTTTCTTATTGAATTCGATAATTATTTTTCTGATATTATATGTACTTGATGGTGTGCTATACATCGATAGTAGTTTTGTACCTTTTGTTAACATTTGAATACGTTTTTTCCGTAATTCACAATTAGTATTATACCACCGCCTACACCATAGGCGTAGTCAAAATATTTATCAAAAATATAAATATTCCTTCAAGCAGCTAAGTTAAGAAAAATATATGACCACGGCACTGATTAGTGCCATGGTAACAATTTGGTCGCGGGTGTTATTTGTCCTTGGATTCTTTAGTCATTGACGTAAATCAAGTTAGCGTCTTAAGCTTGATTTTCATGCATCCGTTGTCCGACGATACGTTGATACGATATTAATTTTATTGGTAGAATTTAAAGACTTTGATTGGTTAGAAAATAACGCAGTTTTTAAATTTATTGCATTTTCATGCCTCCGTTTATCGGATATACGTTGGTGTTATTTTATGTTTTTGTTTCCATAACTATTTTGCTATTTTACTTCTATTGTTATTAAGGTTAGATTAAATTTGTCAAAAAAGTGTCAAAACGTCCGTTATCGTATGAACGGGTCCGTTGACGGGCTGAAGTAAAATAATTACGGATGAAAAGTGGTGCGAAAACACTATAACCAATCAGAGCACCGTCGGACCAACATACCAACGTATAACGGATGCATGAAAATCAAGCTTTACTGTTCGCGACTTTACTTATAGATTTAAATTTAATCTTTGAAATATTTAAACAAAAACAATAAACGGATATATATATATATATATATATATATATATATATATATATATATATATATATATATATATATATATATATATATATATATATATATATATATATATATATATATATATATATATATATATATGATATATATATATCTATATTTCAAGAATATTTAAAATAACAGGTTGATTTTAATGTCGTTACGAAAAAAAAATATATTAGAGTTTAAAATAGTGCGCGGTCAGGTGCAGCCGGTGACCTTGGTCGGTGACAGCGTTCAGCGACGAAGTAGACGAATCATATCGTTTTATTTGGGGTGTGACAAAAAAAAACCTGTTGAACCAAAAGGATAGACTTACGCAACTTTGATATTCCCATTTCATTTGTTTGGCTTCATTTTCCACTCATTGTGTAAATGGGCTATTAACCATATAGTCTTTAAATCTTTCTGATTCCGGTTTTCCCGTGTGCTGTTCATATATTAATCTACATAAATATAGTCCCAAACAACATCAAAAGTCGCCTATCCCTATATAAAATCCACTATAAATTACGTTAGTGCAGCAAAATCCATCTTATCCACTTATATTTGCTTTTTATTGTCATTATTGTTGCAAATCTTGCATTTTTCATAGGATTTTTAGACAAGTATAATATTACTATTGCCATCTTATCCATTTGAAATACATACCTAATTTTAATAAAATAGCATACCTAATAATTCCAAGTTAGGATGCAAATATCATGCTGTAGTAAAATCCACAATATGCATCATACTGCAACAAAACCCGCCTTATCTGAATTATTTTTGTTTTTTTTTCTCTTTAAAAATTAATTTTTATTTCTAGAAAAACCAGATACAAAACAATGAATATATCGAAACAGCGCTTTTGGGATAAGACGGGTTTTGCAACTTGACGCCTCATATCAGCGGCGTGCGGTGACAATTATAGGCGGGGAAGTGAATCGGTAAAAAAACCTATTTCGAGACATTACTAGAAAATCCCTTTTTTAATAACACATATACCAAACCAAACCAAACACAGTCTAAATTATTGTCCACACTAGTAGAAGCAGAAGATTGTCCTTCTTGACCTTCCATTACAAAACGAAACAGTAAACACTAAGTTAAATCCGAAAAAAATACAATATTGCCTATAAAATCGCAAGCGAACCCGTCCCGATATATTAAAAGTCGCGGAAGGCGGCCGAAAGATCGCTGCCGTGGCTAGCAACTGTGTGGGATTTTCCGGCTTAAATTTATCGTTTTCGTTGAGGTCAATAACACCTACATGAAGGAGGGATAGGCGACCGGCTGCGATTTCCAGGCGCGCATCCATGCAGTAAAAGGCTAATTCAAATTACTATGTTTATGTAAGGTTTCAAATAAATAATTTTAACAAATTAAATTGATCTTTTGTTATAAAATAACAGTATTATTAACGTTTAACTATTTATTTTTTTTATCTTTAAAAAGTTTACGGAAGCGGTGCTTCCCCCGCTTCCATGGACCGCACGCCGCTGCCTCATATAATAAAGCATGATCTTTGTTAATAAACCTGTTAAAATAAATAACAACTTAGCGTTTTTCTGTTTACATTTGGTTTCTATATCTTGGGTACCACCGTTTCTACGTACCATTTAATATTATGTTTCTGATAGTCTGTCTCGGTAGTACCAGCATATCTTTGGAAGGTTGAAGTGTCGTTACTGTAATTTTATTTACCGAATATACAAGTATATTTACTAAAAAAGACCTCATGAAGAGGATTTGGATTTAATCACATTTAATAAACGACATATTTATTATTACAGTTAAAAGCAAAACTTAAACCCCTCATGACAATATTCACGATTAAATGAACCAATCACCAATTATGTCAAATATATAAATGGGAATGTCCTTTTATTTAAAAAAGAGCATCCAATTCTAAACTTAAGAAAAATATTCTAACTAAAAGCTAGTATAATAATCGCACTTACGCAAAGAGTAGGTAGTAAAAGACTGTATATTATATTTAGATTATATGGAGAGATATGTGCTATTTATTTTTAGTATGTAATAAGATTTTTGTTAAATAAATTAGCTAAGGTGAATTCATCTTCGAAAAATTATGTATAAGATAAATGAAATGACTATTATTATATTGTCAGTTGGAATTCATATTAATATTCACTATATTTAATCTCTTATATTTTAACATAATCATTTACAGTAATAGAACTAGTTTCTCTGGTAATAAAAGGTTCAGCATGTAGAAAAAACAGATGCATTTTCTTATAAACAATATAAAGACTGTTCAGCCATCGTTCACCGTTACGTCATCATTATTTGTCAAATATGAGTTTTAGGGTGTGTCTGAGATCAATTCATATTGTTAAGAAAAATTTAAATACGTTCCTGTATTATTGATTGAGCGAGTTCGGTTTTTTTCGGCATTTATTTATTTTTTCTTGTACTCTTCATCAGTTACGATCTTTTTTCTTTTTAATTCCAATCTCTTGGACTGTCGAAATTCCTATTATCTGTTAAGCATCAGTAACTCGCTAAAAAGAAAGCTTCTCGAGAAAAATAATTTATAAGCTTAGCAATGAGCTCTTCTTCATTTTGGGCATTTTCACAATGAGCTCTTGTTGTTTAATCTATGAGGCATAATAAAAAAAATATAAATAATAAAAAATTTTGAATTTTGTTTTACAGCAACAATCAAATTTTCTTCTTTCTTCTCAAACTCTCCTTTTCAGGAGAGAGTTTGCGTTGCCTAGGTTACCAGGGCCATTCTGGCAAAGTACTTTTCTGCTTTTCTTTTTTCTGGATGGTCACGTTTTATGGACCTTCACAGATTTATTTTTCTTAATGACTAACAATTATTGAGGCTATTACAATCAAATTTTAATTTTGACATAGATCGATGTCCGTCAATAAAATTATAACCCCAAATCAAATAACAATGGTCGCGTTCATCAGGACGTAGCGCTACTGCAGCGATCACTAATTTTCTGCTGAACGCGCCGATTACTTGTGAGCCCTCTGGGATCAGTCGCTATTTTTTCCATCAGATTTAAAATACGCTACGCTATCGATGCATGATGGATTAAACGTCACATACACCAAATGTCACAAAATGTTTTGGAAAACGAAAACAAACCGTTTTGGTTATTGTTCTCGGTTGACTAAAATCCTCTCGATTTGTGCCAAAAATGGGTGATCTACTAGCTGAAGAAGATCAACCGCTCGTCTTATTATTAGCCCTACATCTAGAGTGTCTTCTTGAGCAATTAGCACTGCTGCTTGGATAGGATTCATTGTTGAAATTGAAAGCAAATTAATGTACAAAAGTACATGAAGAGTACAAGTGCAAAAATCAAAATATAAAATCTATAGATTTGGATTTTTGAATCAAAATACAAACACATAAAGTTAGGTTAAGTTGTTATGATGCTTCTTAGGCAAGGAAAGAGAGTTCCTTGTCTAAGGGATGCTTAAAAGCGCGTTCAGCAGGACAACCAATCGCTGGCACATCGCTCACTGATCAACTTGTCCTGATGAACGCGACCAATTACTAAAAAGGATATGCAGTAATTTACGAAATGCGCTAATGATGTTAACCAATCTCTTTCATCTGGTCGGAAAGTGATTGAGAGAGTTCGACAATATATGACGTGACGTTGAGCGTCGGTTGAACATTCTATATGTAAAATTGAAAAACTCAACAAATACTAACTCAGAACCTATGGACTGCATCATATTTATATCTAATTACGAAATCAATTTTAGGTTAAATTTGTTTAATTAACGTAGTAGATCAAGATTAGTATAGATTTGATGTATTTATAAACAATCAAAATAACAACAAAAGTACTTATTATGTATTTTCGAAAGGCAATTTTTTAATATCGCGCCATTTTAGTGACTTTACTTTGTCTCGTTCAGTACGGTATCTATTAGTATAAAAGGATATTTGTATACAGGGTGTCTGGTTAGAAGAAAAAGAAATAAAAACGGTCCAGCCATAAGTACTAGTCATTGTTTATACGGTAGTTGGACACCTTATTTTTTTTATAAAATACGCAAAATGTTTGGTGTGTTCAAGAAAT